GACAAGGAGCCTTCTCAGATCAAAGAAGCAAGATGTTAAAGACTTCAAACTAAACTGTCTTTGTAAGAGACACTCACAAAAGGAATGCCAAAGCCCACACCCTGTCTCAATTATGGAACGTCAGTGAAATAAAGAAAAACATGGATGCTCATTCTGTTTTTCTGAACTCATTTTACTGCAACTACTTTGCTTTTCTCCTTTCTTCCCATTGCAGTCAAACTCAAGGATGTGACGCAGTGAAACTGGAAAACATGATTAATGTTTTCAAAGATAAAATGAATGACTACTGAGGAATTAATAGCATTTTAGCCAATATGATTTTGCTAATGGAGCCTGAGTAGCATGTAGAGAATGATACGAAAGCAAAGTTAAAATGGGAATAGGAGCTATCAAGCATACATGTGAAGCAAATACACATAATTTAAATTGTCCCTTTATATCATTTGTCATGAGCCACATCTGCTTTTACAGCTGTGCTCCTTCCTTGATCTATCCTGACACTCTGGAAATGGTAGGCATGCAGCCAATTTCTTACCCAGCCATTCCTATGATCAGACCTAGCTATCAGCTTGCTTTTTTCTTACATTAAATCAAGTATCAACCCCGGGGCTCTGAACCATTTCTGACTGACAGGACCAACAGAAAGTTCTAGGCTAATTACTTCTTAGGAGTAGCTCCCAGTGCAAAGAGAGTTACCATTGACCTACTTTGGACTTACTGAAATAATTTATCAGGTACGATAATTAAGGGAATAAAAAGCTGTTTCTAAAACTAACCAAGTACCAGAAGTATTTGTTGAAATCATAAGTTGGTATTCCCAGCGCTATCAGATGGGGCTTTATTACTTTGCAATGAGTCAATTTTATTATGTTTGACTTATTTATAAACCATTCTTTTTCTTTATAAATTATATTTGGCAGGATATATTTGAGAGTCTCTTTGATGTATAAACATATTAGTTTTGAATTTTTTCAGTCTAGATATCAAGAGACACAATCTTTTAAGCCCTTCTTTCCTTCCCCTCTTAACCTCTTCCCTATAAATAAGCTTTCACATTTCTTTGCACAGGTGTTCCATTTGTTTGAAGCCCATCCTAAATAAAGGGATGCCTCCATATGAGAGTGGATATATCTGTGTTGTGAGCCACTTCCCATGTGGACTTTTAATTCTCTCTTTTGGAAGCTTAATTCTTTCCTACACCTAGGTCAATAAATATAACTGAAGAATCTTCTGAAGCAATGGTGTTTTTTTGCTATTGAGTAAACATGACCATCTTCTGATTTCTACAGCCTTGATGTTCTCCATAAGAAGAAAAAGGGAAGAGAAAAACCTTGAAATGAAATCAGAGAATATAAGTGAGGGGCTTATATGAGCTTATAAACCATCTATTCTCTCAAAGGTATTAAAATGTAATGTGTTTAGGATCATGGTTTATCAATGCCGTCCTCTAATTGTTATTTTTTCCTCCTTTCCTCCATTTTCCTTACCCCTTACCATCTATCTAGCTATTATCTATCTATCTCTCTATCTATCTATCTATCTATCTATCATATATCTTTCTTCATGTCCAGTGTGACTTGTGTAACTCAAAAACTCATCTAACTATGAAAAGAAGATCAATTGATTATGATTGATTGTAATTGATCAACTGGCTTTTTAATTCTAACAAAGATTTAACTTCATCCAGAAAGTACCTAAGCATTTTTTGAATAACTAGACTTATTTTTTTGTGGTGAAATGTATAATATTAATTTCTTCGGCCAGGTTAAAGAAAGATCAGGAATTAATTTTTCATCTTTGTTTCAGTATTGCAGATACAATAATAACATAATAGTAGTATTTCATATCTTGTTGCTTCATAATGCAGGATTGAGGATATTTGTGTGCATAAAATTATAGTTTAGTTAGTATCAAGGAAAAAATAAAATTGAAGACTGAGTTGCACTCTTTGTTGCCACACAGCATATGCAGTGTTTTATGTTTGGGAGAGGACCTGGTCATGGTTTCATCCAAAATCAACAGCACATCAACTCTCCTCTGCTTCAGTTGACTAGTACTAGAGTCAGATCACTCCCCAACTGCTTCCTATCATACTTTATAGCCTCTTTCATTCCACGCCTATTTAATTTCATTTACTGCTTTATTCTTGTGTCCTTCAGCTGTTCCAATCTGCCCTTCATGGTCATAACTAAATACAATATGTTAACATACAAAGGTATTTATGTAAATGAAAATCAATACTTTTACCATTTTCAGCACCATTCCTTCTTGCTTACGTTGGACATTTTAAGTACATTTTATTTAAATGCTAACAACTTTTCATTCTTGCCTGGGAAGTATAATGATCTTCTTGGCTCCCTGCCCCCTGAATCCCTCTAATCTTCACAGCTATAGCCACTTAGCCCCATCTGGAGGTTCAGCTTTATTCCGCATTTTGGAACTAATCTTGTCTCTAGGCTGGGGGCGTACAAGATGTCCTAGCCAAAAGCTAACTGATTCAGCATCCAGTCAGCCTTGCTGCTGGTTTCATTCTGACCTTGTAATTTATTTCTGAGATCTAGATGCTTGTCTCAGCCCCTTGTAACCAAGGCTTGGCTTTCTACACCAGTTCCGGCAACTGGGTATCTATCAGTCTTGCCCGTATCTGTCTCTGTTTTCCTGATTGATAACCAGTTCCTTGATAATTGAAGTTCTGCTTTGCCCTTCTCCTTGTTCCCTTTGTAATTGAGTTTCTTTTTCTGAAGACTGGGACCTATGACCTACTGTGGAATCTTTCTGATGCCACCAGCCTTGTCCATATCTCCTCATTCTACCTGCCCTCAGACCATAGATCTGAACTTTTGCTAGAATACCAGGAGTGACACTGCCTGCCTGGACATTTTCCCATTGCCTGCTGCAGGCATCTCCCTTGTCACCAGCTCTAACCCTGCAGGTCTTGAGTCACTACATCTAAGCTGCCCGCAATCTGGCTATCTTATTATTCCAGACATGGCAGGAAAGAAATACGATTTTAATTGCATCTTTGGTTGAATTGTTAATGCTAACATCTTCTAGTTACTTTCACCTCATATCTTCACTGTGGCCCTACCACTTAAACAACTCAAAACTCAGTTTCCTCTTTGCAAAGGGAAATAATGGTGGAATCTACCCCTAGGGTTATTTTGAAGGTAACTGAGAATTGAAAAACTAAACAGATGGACCAAAACCCATAGTAAGCAACTAGTAGTTTTTAGCTGTTATTTATCTCATTTCTTAAATCTTTGCATTTGCAAAATGAGCTTTGTTACCTAAAGATGATCACTGAAGAGATGAGAAGTTAGGGGAATGGAAATTCTTAAGAAAAATTAGGAACCCATGTGAATTTTTTTAAAAGTAAAATAACTGACAGCAAGATAATGAACAGCTTTAAAAATGATGTTGAACTACAGATGTGGTCACCAGCAAACATTAAAAATGGGATATTTAAAGGATACATTTCCTATCTGTGTGTCTTAATATATAATGACTATGAGTATATAGAGCCCTAAAGCATTTAGGGAGCAAAGATTCTCTGAGTCAGTCATTTATTTTACAGAAGTGTTTCATAGTCATTTGGGAAGTTTTAGATAAGTAAAATTTTAAGTCCTACTTCTCTGAAATTCTGATTCATTAATTTTGGGGTGGAACTAAAGAAAATATACATTTATTGACCTCAGGACAGTCAAATCAGTACATAAACTACCACTGGCTGCTAGCTACTCATTGGTGAGAAATGTTTGACAGGTACGAAAACTCTACTGATGTTTGCTTTTATTAATGGGTGGCTATTTCCCTGGGGTATAGTGTTTACCTACAAGTACCTGATTAATTTACCCTAAGAACTCCAGTTGCTCCCTTGGAATCCTAAAAATCCTTAAAATATTTTAAGTGCAGACTGTTTAACTCTTGCCAAAATTATCTTGCCTTTAGTTTTTTCTTTTTGTCCCTTAGATGAATTGCTCCCTCCACCCACAAAAGTTTGATCAAAACTATTGTTTTTTTCCTCCAACTCTATTGAGATATAATTGACATATAACATTGTATAAATTTGAGGTGTACATCGTGTTGATTTGATATGCTTATATATTGCAATATGATTACCACCATAGTGTTAAGTAACACCTCCATCATGTCACATAATTACTATTTCTTTTTTTGTGGTGAGAAGATTTAATCTCTTAGCCAACTTGATCAAAACGATCATAAACTCCTCTAGACAAACGTAGTCTGCATAATGTAGAAAACAAAGGGCACTTGGCTGTTTTTCTGAAAGATATCTGTGTAAAACTGAGGTGTGTAAACCAGGGAGAACTCTGCCTCTTTCCACTATCATGCCACAAAGACCTCACTCTGGCAAATTTTGGGTTGCTCCCTTTGGGTATGATTAGGGCAGGACCAATACATGTGGAGGCCCTAGAAGACTAACATTTTGGGACTCATGCAAAATAATGAATGTTATTCATTATTTGTTTAGTGTATCTTTTCAGAAGAAGCTGAGTATTACTCAGATGAAGGGAGAAGTTGATCCTAGAGAGTAGCCCAGAAGTCATTCTTTGCTTTACTGCCTTCCCAGTTCAGCTATGGGTGTGCATATGCATATACCTTAAATAAATTCTCTGCAGTTACCCAGATCCACCATCCTAGAAAGCAGAGTAGCAACTCTCCATTGTTGATTGACCATGGTTCTTGAGGGATGTTCTGATAAATATGATTTTCTTTCCATCTCTTAACATTGACAGTATTTGGGGGTCTCAGTGATATTTTAAATATATCTTATCAAGTAATGCTCTTAACAGCTGCCTGGCTAGTTCAGCTCTTAATTCAGCTTCAGAAATTCCTTGCTGTTATTATAGCCCTCATTTTCCCCCCTTCAGAACTGGATAAGAAAAAATGCTGAAAATGTCTTTTAGGATATGGTTGATGGAGTAAAAAGAAATTAATTATTGTTATAATTTGTTTAAAGAGTAAAAAGAACACGTTACCAGACATCCTCAGCATCTTCATCACATTCTGCACCGAACTGGCAAATATCACAGGTTGAAGTCTCCTTTTGACTGGTTTCTCCTGAGCCTTCATGGACTAGAGAACAGAAGAAAGTAAACAAAAATAATTCAGATAAATATGCTTAATACCAACACTCTTAAGACTATTCTGTATCAAAGCTGTTACTTTTCCAATAGACCTGTTTGCTTTTTGGGGCTTCAAAGAATGTCTTACTCACTTCCTTTCTTCCCTAAATTTAAGGAAAACACTAGCAATAATTGATATGTAGTAAACACTTCACTTTTTACAAGCAAAAAGAAACAACAAACAAGAGGGTTTACTGGATTTATCAAAAAACTTGGCTAATAAGTAAACCATATGAAAGAGTTATTAATTAAAAGGGATTTAGACTGTTACTTGCCTAGAGGAAATATCTAGTGTTTATTTTATGAAGAATACTTAACATTTTCACTTTCCCAAATTACAGATTTTTTTTTTTTCATTTAAAGGCTTTTATACATAATTAAAAATATTTGGATGGGCCGTCTTGACATTAGATAGGTCTTATTTTTTTCTCAAGATGTTTCATACTTAGAAGGAAAATATATTGATTATAAGTTTTTAGAAAACTGCTTTCAGTTGGTTTATACAGTAAGTTTTGTATTTTATATAAATATTGCACAGAGCCCGTCATAGTGATTTCCTCTAGGAGGATTATGAACATATATTTCATTTTAAAAATATATATTCTGAATATATATATATTCTGAGCCTGGGTGGCTCAGTCGTTAAGCGTCTGCCTTTGGCTCAGGTCATGATCCCAGGGTCCTGGGATCGAGCCCCGCATCGGGCTCCCTGCTCGGCAGGAGGCCTGTTTCTCCCTCTCCCACTCCCCTTGCTTGTGTTCCTGCTCTCGCTATCTCTCTCTGTCAAATAAATAAATAAAATCTTTAAAAAATATATACATATTCTCACTGATGATGATTATTGATATTAATCTTTTTTTCCTATAAATTACAAGTACAGAAATATGCAATATATAACTTAATTATAAAAGTAACTTTTCAAAATCAGGACACAATAGTGTAAGTTGGACTTAAATATTTTGCCCCCAAGGAATGAAAATCTGAGAGCACTTTTGAGATGATGGATTACTATTTACCCAATTAAAAAATATGTAGTTGAAAGCAAAAATAGGTTTGGTTATAGATGAAAAATTGCAACAACATAACTACTATATAGATAATTTTATTCTATGGACAGACAGTATACTTAAAAATGGATGTTAAATCAAGAGAACCTTTAAAAAAGTGTACTTCTGCCAAAGGTTAGATATTTTCAATAGAAAAAGAACACAAGCTATTAAGTATGGCATTGGCTCCAATCTTTATGAGACTAATAAGATAACATCTTTAACAAAGACACATATATTAACATGCACCCTGAAACTAACAAATCCAGTCTGACTTATTTTGTTTTAATATGATATTTTCCTCATTTCTTCTTTGTCTATTAACAAGAGAGTTTTTAATATTTATAAAAGCAGAGGTCTTAATTCCTTGATTTTCTTTAATTTACTTCTGTGCAGGTAAGTGATTTAATTAACCCCCCCCCAAAATAAAAGACAAGAAGCCATCTAAGGAAGTTCTCTATTTTATAGTTTTTCTTTTTTCTTTTTTTTAATTTTTTTTAAGATTTTATTTATTTATTTGACAGAGAGGGTCACAGCGAGAGAGGGAACACAAGCAGGGGGAGCGAGAGAGGGAGAAGCAGGCTTCCCGTGGAGCAGGAAGCCTGACGTGGGACTGGATCCCAGGACCCTGGGATCATGACCTGAGCCGAAGGCAGACGCTTAACGACTGAGCCACCCAGGCGCCCCTGTTTTATAGTTTTTCCAGGAAAGGTAGAAATTTATTTTTTCTAAAGCAACTTACCCACCCCCGTACTTGATGGTTTGCAATTACATGTCAAAAAAGTTATGAATTAAACAGATCAACTTCAATTGCAAAAGTATGGATGGTATAGTTTTACATTTCAAAGTCTTAAGAAAAGGTATTCCTCCCCAGAAAGAAGAGGGAATTTTAGACTTTGATAGAATAGACAACACTTATTATCCACTCTATTACTTTAAAACAGGCAAGACCATTAGAGTGGACCATGGGGATAAGAAGGAAGCTGTGGCCTCTCCTCAGGAGAGACTGAACAGCTGCGGTCTCTTTATTACTTTCTTATTATTAATGCAACACAGAAGCTGCTAATGGGAGAGAGCCTTTTAGTGTTAGCAAGATTAGCAGCTTCCAGGCTGAAACTTCCCACCACTCAGGAAACATACTAACGCAACGGGAAGGTCCTTAATGAGCAGTTATAGTCACTTAGGGGCAGCCCCATTTTCTTTTGCAGTAGAGATCCTTGGTTAGGGATCTACTGGAAGTAACCTAGGGAATGAGTTGTGCTAACTCAGCACAACTAATAATATTTCTACTGGAAATCATATTACATTTCTATAAATGGACAGTTATCGGTAGAATCAAGATGTTTGCAAATTCTCCCATATGGATGAAGCGGCAAATTCAGAAGTAGCAGTAGCAATGCCCCCATCCATAAATATTCTGGGAATAAAATGATATTTTATGAAGTCATCCACAGTGAAAACTAAAGTAAAATCTTTCCATATTCCCTGAAGCACAGGCTTGCTCCTTTGTAATAAACAAATCAGTACAGAGTTTTCATTTAACCAAGTCGACCAGTGGTTCTTAATGGGGCTCAGAAGCTCTGGTAAATTTTGTTTGTTCATTTATTTATCGTTTTTAGCATAACTGCCCTGGGATATCCTTGGAGATACTGAATTGTAACCTTGATGCTTGGAAATGAGTATTCTAAAAGACGAACCATCCCTGTGTCAGAATCTCAGCCCTAAATAATACCAACAAGACTCTGTCTGTCCCAAGCATTCTCTCCACGCATTGTTTAGCACAGGACTTGTGACAGGTCACCATGCATGGGGAGCACCTGGAGGTTTGGTTAAAATGCAGATTCTGATTCAGCAGGTGGGAGATGTGGCCTGAGGTTATGCTTTTCTTGCAAGCCCCCACCTACTGTTGTTGCAGGTCCACAGACGACATGCTGGGGAGCAAGGATAGCACCGTGTTTTTCAAACCACCATTCACAATTTATTAGTGGGTAATGAAATGGAGTTGGTGGGTCACTTACCAGAGTTTTTGTAAACATGAAACAGAATATACTGGAATAGAAAACACTGAGTGCATCTCATTTAGAAAGCATAGGTTTTATTTTATAACACTGTTTTAGTCATCCATATGTACAGCTACACAGAGCTGTGATATAAATTTCATTTCCTACTAAAGGTCACAGTCATAAAAGCTTGGAAACCACTGATTTAGCACGCGGTAGATGCTCAGTAAATATGTGTTGAATAGAACTGTTTCTTCTTCCTGTTCTTTCTATGTTATCAGAAATGAGAAGGGCCAGTTCTTAATCATATGCGTTCGTCCACTGATTACACAGGAATAAAATTCATGTATCCTAAAGTATTATTTCAATTATACATTTGTATTTTAATCCTTTTGTTTTGTGAAGTAAAATAATTATTTCCCTTTATTCTATAGAAACTTAGATTTCAGCAAGTGACTGAGGGAAATTTGAGGGGTAAAGGAGGCAGAGTTCCTGAAAGCATATTTTATCAAATGTGCTGCCCTTAGTTAGAACTGATTTAATCCTTTAAGATTCTGGATTGGGGGGATGCCTGGGTGGCTCAGTTGGTTAGGCGACTGCCTTCGGCTCAGGTCATGATCCTGGAGTCCCGGAATCGAGTCCCGCATCGGGCTCCCTGCTCAGCAGGGAATCTGCTTCTCCCTCTGACCCTCCCCTCTCTCATGTGCACTCTCTCTCACTCATTCTCTCTCTCTCAAATAAATAAATAAAATCTTAAAAAAAAATCTAGATTAGGGGCTTATTAAGAGATAATCTAAATGAAGGGGAGGAATCGGAGGGGGAGATGAACCATGAGAGACTATGGACTCTGAGAAACAAACTGAGGGTTCTAGAGGGGAGGTGGGTGGGGAGATGGGTTAGCCCAGTGATGGGTATTAAAGAGGGCACGTATTGAATGGAGCACTGGGTGTTATACACAAACAATGAATCACGGAACACTACATCAAAAACTAATGATGTAATGTATGGTGATTAACATAACATAATAAAATAAAAAAAGGAAAAAAAAGAGATAATCAAATTACTTCTCTCTCAACTCTCCTTGCCCCGGTGGTTTCATCTGGAGGTTACCGAAGTTCCTTTATCACCACCTTGTTCTGGCCCAGTATGGGTCTTCACACCGGATGTGCCAGCTGGAGGCCATTCTCTTCCTGACCCACTAGAGTGCCTCCTGGGCCTCTTATAATACCCTAACCCATGTTATGATATTTGTGAAAACATGGTGAAATATAATGTTCAGTTATTCAATGCCATTTATTTTGTTAAAAACTGCAGTAAAATTTATATTCATTGAAATGCTCAGATCTTAAGTGTATCTTTCAGTCAATTTTGAAGAATGCATATCAAGGCAAGGAACAACTCTACCATCCCAGAAGATTCCTTTGTGCCCCTCCCAGCCATTATCCTACTGCCACTCTGTCTCTATATATAGACAGTTTAGTGATCTGATTTCTGTCACCACAGATTTGTTTTAACTATTTTAGAATATCACATCAATGGAATCCCACAATATTTAATTATGGTGCCCACCTTTTTCACTCAGCATCATAGCTTTTGAGATTAATTCAGGTGGTTGTGTGGATCTGTAGTTTATTTCTCTGTACTGCTTGGTATTCAAACGAATGAATATATTATAGCTCATTTATCCATTTTCTTATTGAAAGACATGATTGCTTTTAGTTACTAGCCAGAAACAATAACTGTATTTATTAATAAAGCTGCCATAAATATTGTTGTAAAGGACTTTTTGTGCATATTAGTTTTTTATATCTCTTGGACAAATATCTAAAGTGGTATAACTGGGTTTCAAGGTAAAAATTATTCTTGTTTCTCTTTTTATTCTTGAGTTGCGGGAATTTTTAATA